TCTGATGAAGCTAAAGTTTAGCGAAACATGTTAAAAGTTTAACAAAAAATTGTGGAAATATATAAGTATTAAAATTTACTTAAAAAATCTTTTATTAGATAATGGATTTCCACCAAGTAAAAGCCGATTCAATCAAAAAATTAATAACTAATAGTTTTTCTGTAAAAAAATATAGAAATTCAAAATAACTCTCTTCGCGCCAAAACGCACTCATAAATAAATGACGTCACAAGACGGTATCCGTCAAAACAAGTTTCTGTACTCCCTCTCTCTCTTACCCATTGTGTTTTGTCATTGGTTTATGCGACTTATGTCGATCATTGTCATTTTCCATTCACTAAACAAAGATAGTGTTACGTTGATTTTGGAAATCAATTCTCTTCCAGTGAACTCACACCCTATATATATTAAGAGAGAGAAAGACATAGTGTAGTAATGATAGTAACAAATACATATGGGTATCTTTGTTTAGTTAATGGAAAATGACAATGACCGACATAAAATGGTAAATCCATCGGTAGAATTCGATGTAAACACCAGCGTCTGACGGCTCACGTATCACGTTAACATAACCACACTTTTGTTAGTTTACCGTTCCATGACGTCATAATCAATTTGAGAGCGTTTTCGCGTCCTTTGTTTTATTCAATATTTGAATAATTAATTATTTATTAGTGGTTCAGTATAAAGAGGATTTGAATATGGAAATATACTTCTAGAGTATTTAGCTTCACTTTAAATACATTTCACATCAAAATAAAATTTTATGCAACTTCCTCATTACATAATAATTATTAAAATGACACACTATGTTTTGATTTTCGAGGAATGTTAGATCGAGGGTTTCTCTGCCGTGCTCTTTCCCCTTGTGGGTTCCAGATCGAGAACGGTACGATTTACTTTAATAATAAAGTAGACGTATCACAAATGTCTCGTTTATTTTACATATCATAACTTCCCTTAATATTGCCTAATTTTGTTCTTCTCGGGCGCATGTCAAGTAGGTAAAATTGAGTAAGTAGGTCCTATTTGTTTTCCATTTCGTTTTTCAGAAGATTTGTTAAAAAAAGAGATAATGAAAATTCTAACCGTTCAATCTTGCTGAACGAACCCGGGTACAGTGTTGTTCAAAGGGCACAATTGTGCCAAAAGTGGCACTTTTCGCCCGCAAAATGCACGGTGGCACCACTTTGAAAAATTTGGCACGATTCTCATTTATTAGATATATCATTTTAAGATGAGAAAGACTGGAGCTGAAGAAGGATTTTCTGTTCAGGGGGCCGATTCTCGAGCCAGGGAGTAGAGCTCCCTGAGAGAAGAAATTTTTTTGTCTTTATTATTCTCGTTTACTTTTCGATTACGTTGACAAGGACAAAACATTCGTTCTATCGGGGAGTTCTTACTCCCGATGATAGTGACTTCACTCGCAGAACCTCAGAATTTGATAGAGAGGGAGTTAGGGGAGTATGACACAATTGACACATCACATAACCCAGTATACCCGAGTATGCTTGATTATCCTCGCGAAAAATTGCCAATTATATCTTACTTCTTTTAATCATGTGATAAAAAGAAATGGGTAAAAAGTCAAAAAATCCTCTCCCATCACTTTCTATTAATAAGTGGCACTATTTGGCACTATTTGAGTGTTGCTGCAGGCACACACGAAAATTCCCCAAGAACAACTCTGCCCGGGTATGTTATACTACACTACCAATGACACTACCTTGTGATGCACATCGTTGGATATCTCGTTTCTTTCCCTTTACAGTCCTATAGCAAAATTTTAAATCGGACGATTACTTTTTGAGATATCGGTGTTTAGAAGTAGGCACATTTTGAAAACTAGTAATATTGACTATCTTTTAGACAGAACAATTCTGTCATAAAAGTCTCAAATACACATCGGGGAAACCAAATGTGTTTATTGACTAACCTCCACCCCTCTTGTGTTGGCGGCTAGCCGCCCCTATAAATTTTTCTAAAATGAGAACCTCGATGAGAACCTATAACCTATTAGACTGTGAGATAGGGGCTGTTTAGTGGAGTCATTTTTTTTTGTCTGGCATTTTGAGGGCTGAATGTGGCTACTAAGCTGATGAGAATATGAGTGATTTTAATGCCTGCCTCCCGTTCGAAAATTTGCAGAAGAAAAAAATTGATTTACATGAGGAATTTTTTTTTAATGATCTCAAATTTTTTGGCTTCTAAATAAAAGATTGATGTTGATAAATAATTCACCCATAAAAAATACCAGAAGCTTTTCAATAGCTGAAAAAGTGGGGATGAGTGTCAACTTCCAAGAGAAAAGAAAGGAACCTTCCGCGTTTACTTTTTGTCTGGTAATCGAGAGAATGGAAGGTTTTGTTGTGGAAATATCGCTGAAAAATCGCCAGACGATAATCCCAGTTCGAAGTCGAGTTTTCCGGCGAAACATTCTGTGGACATTTCGAACAGGTGGCAGGCATTAAAACCACCTATATTCTCATCAGCTAACTAGCCACATTCATCCCTCAAAATGCCAGACAAAAAAAAATGACTCCACTAAACAGGCCTTATCTCAGGGTCTATATGTGATACCTCCTTTGAAAGATTTTTTATTCCTCTTTAGAGGCGTGCAGAAGCAGATAGAATTATGATAAACACATTATTTGATTTCGCCGATGAGTATTCGAGACTTTTATGACAGAATTGTTTTGTCTAAGAGATAGTCAAAATAACTAGTCCTCAAAATGTGCTTACTTTCAAACACCAATATCTCAAAAACTAATCGTCCGATTTAAGATTTTGCAGGTGAAGTCTGTTCGTGTTCATTAGTTCATTTTCTGACGCCTTCCTTGCCGATCACACCTTTTCATATATTTGAGTCTGTACGGACCCGCTGATGATATGGTTTCACTAAGCTATGCATGAAATTAGGTACTCTTTTTGATTTTCGTCAGTTGTGAGGGTTGTGGCGTAGGCGCTGATTAGAGTAGCTTGTTGGTTATTGCTGAGGTGTAGCCGTGTGTCATCAGTCTTTCGCCTATTCCGGATAGAAGCTCAGCAAGATGGTCCATAAATTATTTTTTTATGGCGACACACAGTCCGTGAATGCAAGGTTCAATATCTCCCTTTCCTTTCCAGAAAAACGTACAGCCTTCTCCGTGCTTCTTAAATTGACCTTCGCCTGCTCTTCTGGTTTTACTTAGAGCTGCAATATCGATGTTAAATCTCTTCAATTCCCGTGCCACCACTGCCGTTCTTCATTGTGTTCTTGTATTTGTGATGGTATACATAGGTGTACGAATATTCCACGTGGCAAGATTGCGTTTGTTTTTCTTTGTTTTGTTTTGACCGCATCAGGTGCACCCTCTGGACGTGGTTATCCAGTCAGGCAGTTGGTTGGCTTGAGCAAAACGGCTATCACGCTATCCGCCGCCTGCGTGCCGGTTTGTCACTAGGAAATTCGAGACTACATCATCCTGCTCCCGTCGCAATTTGCCGATCGCCGAAGGACTTTGGTCTACTTTGGACTTGATGGTATTATAGATCAATACTGCAATAGAAGATCCTGTGCGTGACTTTTATAAACGTGGAAATGCGGATGCACAGTCAGCAGACCCACGGTCCCTAAGCTCGAGTTCCGACCCAATGGCATAGAAACTAAGACAATTGAGTCCCTCGAGCTTAGGGCTGGCTGATAGCAGGATTTGCAGGATCAATTATTGAGCTCGATTCGTGGGCGATGGAGTCGCCACATCCCCACGCCTAGTTTTCTATTAAAAATGTATGCAAGGTCGCGAATTTTAAAGTTTATTTCTCTAATATCACGATCGGAATATTGTTTCGATGTTTCCTTTGATTGCAACAAGTTTTGTCTGGCAATTTTATGTGCTTGGTTTTAAGTTCGAGTTTTAAATAAGAATAATCGTCATCATACGGATAACGAAGTGTGTTGCTCACATGACAATTTCAACTATTTGTCTTAAAAATTAGAACTTAGCGTAGAACTGTAAATAGACTAGGAATCTATTTTATTTGCAAATCAATTATGATGAGAAGTGGACTAGGTTAATTATAAAAATTAGTCATCTTTTATATTACCAAGAAAATTTTTGTTTAAAGTTATAAATCATATACCAAGTGCGACAGTTGTAACTTTACGTTCTCTCTAAGTTGGGAAAATTGTGTAGAATCTGGCAACACCGCAAGAGGGTACCCAGGGATGACCACTCAAATACGAGGACTCAACCCCCTACGGCTTAAAATAACAGAGATATACCTTGAACCCTTATTTCATACCCGATGTCCACAGGAATGTTCGAGAATGGAATTTGATATTGATTCTTTTTTTCTATAGTTGATGATTTTTAGTACAAGTTAGGGTTGTTAGATTTTTAAGAGATAAGGAAATGATCAAGAATTGATGTTGATCGGAAAATCCCAGAAGCATGTTATAGCTAACAAATTACAGGAGTGATAGAGAAGCAGACGTCGGCAAATTCAGTCAGTTGGTAATCGGACGGAAGTTGAACAAGTCGATTTCCGAAATTGTTTTTGGCTGCGGCATAAAAACATCTAGTTCAACCCTCGGTATACCTATAATAAACTATTATAAGATGTTTGAAATATTGACCGTTTATTTCCACGCAGTAATACCATCGAGCTTCGATCTCAAGTCTAACATTTTGAAATGTTCCAGGTGTTAACCGACGAAATTCGGCTGCGATTCGCTGTCTGAAATCCTCGCGTGATGCTGGGTGATGAACCCTTTGATTTCTGATGTCTCCAAAAGAATCTTACCTTGTCAAATCGGGTGATCGTGCGCGTCATTCAATTGCGAAGTTTCCTCTCAATTCATTGTTGGGGAAAATCTCGGCCTAGACGAGCGTCGTGAGGAGATACACAAGTAAAGTCTACGTTTGACTCGAAAAAACAAAAAATATATTCATAAATATAGAAACAAATAACAATTTATACAAAAAAATAAACAGCTGTCTTGAAAACAGAAGCAAAGTTATATATGGCAGCAAATATTTGGGGGAAAAAAAGGATTACCATTTTAGTTCTAATATCCTAATATGAAACGTTATAAAATCAAAAAATGCCTCTATTATTTTTAGATAAATAATAAACATAAAAATCATTCTAAAGAAATCAAAAATAAACCTTGACCCTACCAGAATGCCCAAATATTTCTTGCCATGAATGACATGATTAAATTAAATTCATGAAAAAGAAAAAATAATCCTACACTACTCTACTGTCTCTACTAGATGACTAGTAAAATAATGTGTATGTTTTATTTACAAATTTTTTGGGTTGAATTTGAAGTTTCTTTTGAGAAAAGGAACACAAAGTCCCATCCAATAATAATTAATGCAATCCCATAGGGGATGCATCAGTGTCCTCTCTCGAAGATGGTGGTTGGATCTAGACGTCCTCGTATTTTGCCAATTTATTTTGAAGCACGAGATTTTCTTTTTTCATTCGTTCAAGCTCTCGACGAAGTCCAATGTTCTACAAATTGTAATAATAAATTATAATTAAAATTGTTTACCTAGAGAAGGGTAGACATAAATCACCTGGCAGCCTTCAAGCTGAAAGGCTGCGGGCGCCGTCTCGAGGTTGGCAAGCATACTAAGTTATATATAAACTGTGCTTATGCGCACCCCTGTATATGAATAAATTATTAGATTCTCACCTCTTTTTCAAGGTAACCCGCCCTCAGAGCTATCTGATTCTCCTTCATTCGTCTGGCGTCTCTTGACCGTTTGGCTGCCAGATTGTTCTTTCTGCGCCGCTCCCAGTATCTGTCGTCTTTCAGATCTTCTGGAACGAATTGTTTTCTGGATTTTTTGATAATCGGCTGTGGTTTGAGGTCCTCATCTGAAAACGCTCTTGTTCGTGGATCGAAGTCGCGGCAGCTCAATGCCATCGAGAGCGCTTCAGAAAAAACTGCATTTTAGACCGTTTAGTATAATGAGACCGTTTTTGAGGTAGAGCTTTCTGGTTTTGGCGCCTTACTAATCGGAATTAAGGTTCCCGATAAATCGGTATTAAATCAAGTCGAGCATGCAATTTTTACTGTTCAGAATTCAGATTCAAAACAAATTGAAAATGGAAGAAGTTTGGTGAGGCTCCTGATGTAAATTGAACTTATATGAAAAGTAAAATAAAATAAAAAATAAACTACTTTAAGCAAAATACATAAACAATGTTTTTTTGTGAAGAGGCTCAGGTCAATTCACACACCAAATTTGAACTAGAAACTTCCCATTTCTACTACAAAAGCATTTTTTTAAAATCTGGCAGAGAAAAAACATTTTGAAATGGGACCACCCTATATACCGGGTGATACAAGGTATAGGGCAAAGCCTATAAACTTATTAATAATTGAATTGGAAATTTGAAATTCGGGAATCTTAACTGAGTCAAGTTTTGCAGTTTTCTGAAACCCATTTGCCTTACGCTTACGGTATTCCTTGACTTTTTTGGAATCAGCGGAGCATATTTTCACGTATGATAGGACAAGTTTAGAAACATTTTTTTACAAATAAATAATTATTTTCAATTAATCTAGAACAAATGTCGGCGCTGCTACCAGATATTGTCACGGCTCTGAGGTGCGTGTTAGAAATCTTGGGTTTGTTTATTCCAAAATCAAATTCTAATTTACACAACAATAATTTATTCAACTTTACTACACACTCTGGCACTAATTACTTCACTAATTAACTCAAACAACTTAACTCTTCAAAACTCTTACAAAATTCACTATCTGAATCGTATCACAGTCAATCTTAAACTATAAAAACTAATACCGGCCTTTATATATCCGTTATCCGTTCGCTTGTATAATCCATTATAAACGAGATAATCTTTTTGTCCGAATATAACAGTATTTTCTGGAATTTTAGGCATGGATTCTGTATACCAAAAACGATTCTAGCTGGACTTTCACCTGTTGACTCGTGAACAGCTGCTCCGCAAGCCATTGAAAATAGAGGCAAGTGTTTGTCCTAATTTCGCTGGTTCTTTGCGACCACTTTTTTCAGGTGTTCCTCTATGGTTTTATTAAATCGTTCTACTACGCCATCAGACTGTGGATGTAGAGGTGTCGTCCTTGTCCTACGAATGTCCATGATCTCACAAATTTTCTTAAAGATGGCAGATTCGAAGTTCCGTCCCTGATCTGAATGCAACTCTAGTGCCACACCATGACGACTGAAAACTTCGTCCGCTAGCACCTGGGCAATCGTGATGGCTTCTTGATTGGGACTAGCGAAAACTTCTGGCCATTTACTGAAGTAATCCATGATAATCAAGATGTATTTGTCCGGCAACATCTATTGCTATTCTCACCAGTTTTCAATGTCTTCATGATAGTGAACCCAGTAAAAACGTTCCCGAATTTTGTCCAAAGTCTGGTTAACTCCAAAATGTGCCCCTGAAGTTCCATCATGTATTTCTTTTAATACATTTTCTACTCGATCTTTTGGAATAACCAGTTGGCTCTTAGTAGATTTTCCATCGGCACTTTCCCAAATTCTTTTCAGGAAACCATTTTCTACGGCCAGAGAGTTCCACTGAGCCCACAACGCCTTGTAAATCAAACTCTTGTTCGACACTTCCCTTCATTCTGGCCTACATTCATAATTTTCTTTAGGATGTAGAAATTGCCCGATGTCCTGGTCTGCTTCTTGATCTGCTCTCATTTGTTTGGTAGTCCATTTATCATCAACGATCAGACCCGTTCTTCTCATAGCAAGGCCAGTGTTTTTCTCATGAATGTCGATTCTTTGACAATACTTGCAGTCTCCTTTGCATGGCCGTCTAGACAGAGCTTCAGCATTTTTATGCAGATTTCCAGGTCGATGTTTAATTTGGAAATCGTATTGTGCAATTTCTCAATCCATCTAGCAAGCTATCCATCGGGAGTTTTCATTTCTAAAAGCCATTTTAGAGCCACGTGATCTGTTCGAATTAGAAACTTACGTCCGTAAAGATAGGTACTTATGGAAATGGTCGACTGCTTTTACTATAGCAAGCAACTCTCTTCTGGTGATACAATAATTTCGTTCCGGCTTTGATAAGGTTCTGTTGTAGTACTCTACGACATGCTCTTGTGAATTTTGAATTTGTGAAAGGACTGCTCGAATACTTGTGTTGCTTGCATCTGTGTCCAAACTCAATATGCCTTTCTGATCAGGATAGGACATCACTGGGCATATACATAATGCTGCTTTTAATTTTCCAAATGCGGAATCGCAATTCTTGGGTCCAATTGAATGTTGATTTTTCTTCCGGTAATTCATGAAGCGGAGCAGCTACACTGAAAAAACAGCTCCCCTTACCTCAAGGTATTCAGTGATCTTGAAATAAATTATCTTATATGAAAAGTAAATCCATGAAGAATAATTACTTTGTTCTGAGAATTTCGTAATTCTTGATATTTTTTAAAATTACTCTTGAATGGCATTTCTTTCAGGCAAAATTATATTCTCTTATACCAAGAATAATCTTTTATTACATAATTGTTAAGCTCCTTGTTATTTAGGCCAAGAATCCTGATTTTTGATGGAATATTCCAAAATCTTATTCAAAATTCAAGTTTCTGCCGATACCCTTCAACCCAGTGTGTAGTGCCTAGCAGTTTAGTGTATCGTGCTGCCTGCGACCTGCTCTGACCTGCGTTTAGTTTTCAATTCCGAGGCTCCATGTTTTTTTTAAAACTTATATCACAAACAGTTATATCCTGTTTCCTATGGTGTGACCCAGGATATCAGTGCGTCAGGGGACCAAAATTATCTTGCAATCCTGTTTGGAAATGGTGATGGCCTCAATAGAAGAATTTTTGGAGGCAAACAAGCTATCCCATTACTCCTACTTGTTGGAAAAGTTTGAAGGTATACCGGGTGTTTTTCAAAACCCGCTCACCCCTATAACTTTTTTATTTTTCCAAATAAACAAATGAAATTTAGTGTGTTTATTTATGACCCGGATATGCATCATTTGACATATTCAATTATTTATTATCACTTCCGGTTTGACCGGAAGTGACCGTAACTTTCTTATTTCAAATAAGACGTCAGGTATATTTTCCCTTATTTCAATAGAAAACTACATTACGAGTACAATGACACCTCATTTGTCACTTTTTGACATTTCATCTCCAAATTATTTAAAGTTTTACTTTTCAATCAAGAGCGCCATGAATTAGTTAAAATGCTTAATTTTGCTCCAAGGAACCTGGGAAAATTTGTTTTGATCCTATTTTGTATTTTATATCCTCAACAGACTCATTTAAAGATAGTAGAAGCGCATTTTTGGAATTATATCAATTTTTTCAAATGGAAAGGGTATGGCTCATTAGCATGTTTCGAGAGAGCATTTTCTAACGAACAATTTAGTACCACACAATCGCTAGTTTATTCAAATATTGAACTAAAATTTTCCAAAAATATTTAGAAATTTTAGAATGCTAGGAAAATTCTTCATTTGAGAGATGAACTAGCGATTGTGTGGTACTGAATTGCTCGTTAGAAAACGCTCTTTTGGAATATTGTAATGAGCCACACCCTTTCCATTTGAAAAAATTGAGATAATTACAAAAATGCACTTCTACTATCTTAAAATGAGTCTGTTGAGGATATAAAATACAAAATAAGATCAAAACAAATTTTCCCAGGTTCCTTGGAGCAAAAGTGCGCATTTTAACTAATTCATGGCGCTCTAGATTAAAAAGTAAAAATTTAAATAATTTAGAGATGAAATGTCAAAAAGTGACAAATGAGGTGTCATTGTACTCGTAATGTAGTTTTCAATTGAAATAAGGGAAAATATACCTAGCGTCTCATTTAAAATAAGAAAGTTACGGTCACTTCCGGTGAAACCGGAAATGAAAATAAATAATTGAATACGTCAAATAATGCATATCCGGGTCATAAATAAACACACCAAATTTCATTTGTTTATTATGAAAAATAAAAAAGTTATAGGGGTGAGCGTATTTTGAAAAACACCCGGTATAATGTGAATTTTACAAGTAGTATACCTTAATTATATTTCCAATTTAGCAGTTTTAATTAATATTTGAATTGTAATGATATAATGATTTTTTAGTTAGTGAGCCAAAAGTGTTTGAATTTTCAGGCTAATAAAAATTTTTAAAGATAAATAAAAATCTGATGTTTTTTTATGACCAATAATCCTATCATCAAATACCTATGGATTCCAGGCAAAAAATTCTCATCTTCACTTAAGCCATGATGACCTCTAGTGAAAAAATTGAGATCTTCAGCTAAGTACTTTGGTCTTCAATGGATTCGAATAAATTTCTTGGGACAAGAAAATTGGAAAACTAAGTACCTTGGGACAAGGAAATTGTATTGAATACATTGGGATAGTGTTCTTGAGACAAGAACTTATTTCTTTCCAGTAATGTATTCGAGCAATCCTATGACAAGAAAATATTTAGATTTTTTGAAGAGAATATTCACTTGGCCATATGCAAAGTCGCAATTTCATCGAATGAAGTGCGTATTTCTTTGAATTAAGGAATCCTTTTTTTCAGTGTATATTAGCGAATCCTTCTACAAATCTTCGCTAATTAGAACATAATCCTAGAAAACTCAAAACTCCTCAGTTCATGTTTGTCCCGTGGTTTTGGCCAATCCCTGACAGCATCTATCTTTCCTTTCATAGCTTGTATGCCATCTTCGGATACCACGTGACCTAAGAAATCCACTTTCTTTTGAAATAGAAAACACTCTTTTGGATTGAGTTTTAAATTGGCATTCCGGAAGCGGTCAAAAATTTTTCCCATGATCATGGCATCATCTAAAGATACCAGGCAAGTTCTCCATGTAAGGCCTCGCAAAACTAGATGCATCAGTCGCTCAAACGTAGCGGGAGCATTACACAATCTGAAAGGCATTACATTA